TCTTCCTTATGTCGTCATTGCGTATGCGATCCATACGCGTGACACCGGCTGTCCATCGCAACATTTTCATCTCCATGACTCCTAGGCGCGCTTCAACTTCTCTGGTCGTAGGCCAACATTCAGCGCCATATATCGCGACTGGTCGAACGACGGTCCTATAGATCTTCGATTTGAGGCGATCTGGTATTGTCTTGTCGCAGAGAACGCCAGTCATAGACCGCCATTTAGACCAGGCTGCACTGGCCTTAAGGGAACCAGACTCGTTCGGGTCAGTCGTCAGGTACTCGTTCTCTTGACGTTCAGTCTGAGCCCGATGTTTGCTAACCGTTCAGTCCTTGTTCCTCGAGACCATTTCTATTCTCGCACGCGAGCATCACATCGTCAGCGTAGAGAAGCGTCCAAGGAGCCGGCTTTTGGAGGTCCCGTGAGATGGCGTTCATGACGAAGAGCAGCGGGGAAAGCGCTGAGCCTTGGTGCACCCCAACTGTGATGGGGAACCCCATCGAAATGCCTGCTGGACTTCGCACTCGACTCGTCGGGCTGAAGTACAGGATGCGTACCCACTCAATCAGCTCTTCGGGAACGCCGTGCTGCCGTAAGGCATACCATATAACTTCACGTGGGACACGGTCGAATGCCTTCTCCAGATCAAGGAAGGCTAGGTGGACATGCTTCTTCTTCGATGTTTCTCCAGCAAGAGGCGAGCGGCATGTATGGCGTCTACAGCCAGTCACGAAGCCACACTGGTTGGTAGAGAGCTGGACGATATCACGAAGACGCTTATCAACAATTCGCTCAAAAATTTTTCATGCTGTGCGAGAGCAAGCGAATTGGACGATAATTTGAGCAGTCTGCAGGACTGCCTTTTTTCTTCCAGATCGGTACCGTTGTGCTCTCTTGCCATACTTCGGGCATTTTCTTCTCTGCAACGACCTGATTGAAGAACATTGTCAACCATTCGATTATGGGCTTCTGCGTATTCCAGTATGCGTTCGCCATCGACGTTACGTGTTCCATAACCGAAGCCACCATGACAACTGTAACCGTCTTTCGTTGCGCCTACGTGCCCGTTAAGGTCACCAGCGACAATTACGACGTCTTCTGACGGTACCTCAGCTGTCTTCTCCTCAAGCAAGTCCAGAACTCGTCCTTTGATTGTTCAGTGCATCCCGTCTGTGGAGCATATGCCGAAAAGAAGTGGTACAGTCGTTGCTCGACAGCTAGAACAATCTTCATCAAACGATCGTCGAAACGTTCCACGCTAGCTATCGAGTCACGGAAACGTTGAGAGACGATTATGGCCACTCCGTTAGTAGTCCTTGGCTTGCCACAAAGAATGGCTTTGAAGCCGCGACCAATGTCTCTCGACTTGCAACTGGACCATCTTGTTTCCTGCACTGCACAGAGATCGATTCGTCTGCGCTCTAGTGCCTCTGCCAATTCACATGAACGTCCGGTCAAGGTTCCCACGTTCAACGTTGCAATACACGCTACACTGCCTGAAATTTGGACTAGCCTGGTCGCCCCCCGATGCCGTCCTTGCACCGAGGACCCTCGCATACTTTCCACACTCGCCGGGCCATACGAGTGCGCGTCGGCTCCCGCGGACGCCGTAGCATTATCTCGATATACATATGGCATGACAAACATATTGATGTGACATGGGTGTTCGTAGGCCGGCCCGTCACGGAGGCCTGTCACCTGCATTCGTGTGTCTGCGTTTAGCAACTCGCAAAGCGAGCAGTACCCAGTGGCACCGCGGGGAGGAGCAGACGTCACCACCAGTTCATGCTAACTATTGATATTGCTAATCAATTGTTTTAATATTTTGTAGTCTTCCTTACATCCGGGTCCTCTGCAGCTTTCCGTCCGCTCCATCAAACTTAGCGATGACACTTTTGTGCTGTTTGGTGCTCACCGACCCTGCGTTTACGATCTCCCCCACCCACCAGCGGCCAAGTGCGACCCCCATAGGTTTCGCACAACGATGCTGTACCCTGTTTCGAGTCATTCGTACACTCTTTAGTTTCTTTAGTCGGATGGCGTTCAGTACTGGAAGGTGGCACGGACTCGGCCAAAATCCCCAACGCCTGATGCGCTCTATTGACGGCACATTCAGTAATTTTCGGGTTCTAGTAAAGTCATCTGAGTAACCGTTTGCGCCCACACTTTTACCTTGGAACTCCTTGACGTGGGACTGGTACAGTGTTTTCCACTGCAATGCGCACTATCTATCCTACAGTGGGCTTCAAATCATATGAGTATTCGCAAAAGCGGCCCTATAGATAACGCGGAATGTAAAAATGAATGCCTCCTTAGCAATCAAATCTCTAGATCGCCCTTATTTGCAAGACTACGTCGCTTATTGTGGAAGAGGTCAAGGGAAGAAAGACATCTTTTATGGTCAAAGGGTGTCGCTGTTAAAAATAAATGTTGCATCTATGAAATTCATAAAAAAATACGCATCCGTACGCAGTACGTTGAACAACTTGTTTTCCGACCTCTGAGGCCCCTTTTTTTCTTCCTTCCTTTTTTCAGATAGGATGCCATTGAAAGATACCTGAATGCTCTCAGCATTTTCTCCGATGCACTGTGTTCAGCATCGCATGGAAGTGACACGATCGAAGACAGCTCGAAGATATTCGATCCTCCTAGGAAGTTTAAAGAGTTTAAATTAGTACATGGAACGAAGATTCCAATTCCGTTATAATTTGAAAGGCGGACATTGTAGAGTGCCGGGTGGTCTTAATTGTCCAACTATCCAGATGCTATTTCACATGGCCAGTAATTGAGTGACATTTCAATTGTAGCGAGCAGAATGGTTGCACCAAATTGGATTCGCCATGTGGGATTATGACTGGATTACCTCCGGGAAATGAAACTTCGAAGGAAGCCCACCCGTTCAAGTCCTATCCTCCGTGGCCAGAGAATTTAAGACTTTTTTCAATAGATTTCATCTTGCCAATAACGGTCTTTGCCATTTAGCACGTAAAGTAATTCCAACTGTCAAAGTGCGTGCTCGCCATCTATTTCTTTGAATTGATCAGGATGGTGTGTCTCCGTGTGTCGTCTTCGATCGACCTTTCTTTGAAAACTTCGTCCGCACACATCACAAGCGAATGGCTGAAATAGCTGCAGGTTGTGAATGTGAATGCATGCTTTCGTGAGCACTTTATGATATGAAATAACAGATTAACATTTACTTCGGCAACACAGGCTAGCAGTAGTATTTACAGTTAGTTTGAACACTTCGTGCATGCCTTACCTTAAATCCTGTATGCTTCCTCGTGTGTGTGATCAGATTCGACGACTGACTGAAAGCTTTTCCACAAACTGTGCACTTGTGCGGCTTTTCTCCTAGAAGGTGGCCTTGAGAATTGCAGTAATTTGACTAGTATCAACGAGTATATCTGCTTCAAGTGTTAATAGCCGAAATGAGAAAGCATATGGTGTTAGCTGCATTCGCAGTTATAAATGATCCTACTATATATAAACGGCAACGTCTGTCTGTCTGTCTGTCCGGAAATTCGGAACTACCTGAAGAGCCAGTTTCAGGGGGCGGGTCAAGGTTGGGATGGGTAGGGCATGGGCCAAGATGTACGGAACGCTCGTGAACTGGGCTAAGTGGGCTACATGTTTCAAAAATTCGTAAATCGGTTCCAAAAGAGCCCGGAGAGTGGAAAATGTGGCAAATGATAGGCAATCAGTTGGCGGACGAAATGAGTGAGACACACCCATCATGGGCGGGGCGTTCTATAGGTGGGCGGTGCTTGCTACGAAAATTTCAAAAATTCGTAGTTCGGTTCCAAAAGAGCTCGGAGAGTGGGAGAAGTGGCAAACGATAGGCAATCAGTTGGCGGACGAAATCAATGAAGCACAAAGCACAAAATGAAGTGATGGGCGGGGCGTTCGCCGAAGTGAACGGTGCCGAGGACGAAAACCCTCAAAACGCATCCGAAAAACCCCAGGAAATGGGGAGTAAGGTGAAACTGAGCAATGGTTTGGCAGATGAAGTTAGTGAGGGATAACCGTAGGGAGTATACCAAATGGTTGGCTACCGTCGGCAATAGTTTATTCTGCGATTCCTCATCACTAAGGAGAGGAACTTCTTATCGGGACCCACTTCACACGCGGAAGGAGGATCGGCCGGCGAAGCCGGCCGATCCGACTGGCCCTCCCTCTCATGGAAAACTTCTCACCGGGACCCACTTCACACGCGGAAGGATTAGTGATCAATATGGTAAGTCACACCTTAAGGAGTTAGCGACAGGAAAAGAAATTAAAGCGCGGGAGTGTGAGGGATAAGCAATGAATAGTCAAACTTAGGTGTTGTGGCAGACAGAAGCTGTCTTGCTTGATTATTGAGCCGTGGCTGCCCAAAATGATGACCAATTCTTAATTGAAGCTATCTTTTGCAAAAAAGTCTACGTTAACAAAACATGGGTTTTACTGAAGGTAGTTTCAAAATGCTTTCAATACTGGCGAAGTAGCCAGCAGTCTGATGAATCAAGTATGAAACTCTCTTATGGCCAGAAAAAGAAATACGTGACATAAACCAGAGCCACAGCAGATGGGTGTGTAAGACGTAATGCCAGAATTCATAGATACACAGGTTATCTTTTACCTGTATGAATATATGTATGCTTCTTCATGTCGCTTTTCTGGTGAAACCGTTTTCCGCAGTACTGGCATGGATAAGGACGCGTGTCAGAGTGAATAAGAAGATGGGTCGACAACGTGGATGATCTCAACTAGTCTTTTTAGGAGTTGTTGTTCAAAGGTGCTTACTATGTTCACCAAAACCAAGATTTCTGAACCTCTTGAAAGTCTTCCCACACTGCTTGCATTCATAGTGTTTGTCCAGTATGTGTGTAGACCGATGTTGCTATAATATGTAAGTTCTTATTGCGCAGATCAGCAGTGCGGGTGTCTACCAACGAGGCGGAACAAACTTCAAGCGCAGTATTTGTTGAATAGATCTTTGCACGTTTTATGCAGGGAAAAACATTTTCCACAGAAGGGGATGGTTCTTCGAGCAACACATCCAGCTTATTCTTGCGATTTTCACCTGAAAAAAGAAAAAATATGAATCGTTATTTTCTTAAATAGCAAAAACCATATTATACTGCCATAAAGATTGACCATGAATTTCTCGATCCATTTGAGAAAAAGCCTTTAGACTAATCGTCTTCTGGTCCGAATCATGTTTCCAAAGCAAGGGCATCGCGGCAACGGCGAAAGATCTTGGTATTGCTTCAAGGTCCGGACTCACAGATGGGAATAAGTGCGTGTAATGTTCAGGAAATATCATCGGAAGCACTGCTGAAATGAACAAGGTCACTTTGAAATACTAGAATCTACTGGATTGGTTCATTCATGTTGTGCCTTTGATTCTGCATGGCATGATTACAATAAGTAATTAAATCATTGCAATCGACAGCATAGGATATGTAGGAACCTGAGGATGGCAGCCACGAGATCTAGCCCTACCCATGCCGTCCGCAATCATCGATACGGCTTTGTGCTTTACTATGCACAGATGACTTGTAACTATTGAGCTAAGAGCACAACATAAGCAGGGACTTTGAAACAGATTCCGGATGCCTTTCTTCATGCGAGCCTCGATCGATCGTAGCATTTTTCAGAAAATTACCAGGAAGTCATCACTGCACTAATTATATTTGGTCC